TATCTGTAGGAATTGGTTCTAGGATCCACCCCCTGACCATGGATACCAAAATCTGAGCATGTTCAAGTCCTGTGATTGGCCCTGTGGAACCTGCAGATAGGAAAATTCGGCCCTCCATAGATGCAGGTTTCACATCCCCACTGTATTTCCCACCTGTGTTTGGGTGTGGATGCAGAATCTGCCAATATGTATTCGACTGTATTCATTGAAAGAAATCCACATATAAGTGGATCCACTTGTGTTGTTCAAGAGTCAGCTGTATAATGTTCCAGTGATAAAATCATTTTAAAATAAATTTTAGCTAAATGCATCTCTACATGTATAGCTGGACATGAAGAAATGGTATACTATTTAAGAGTATAGTTGGCTGAGCACAGTGGCTGACACCTGTAATCCCAGCACTTTACGAGGCCAAGGTAAGCAGATCACTTGAGGCCAAGAGTTCAAAACTAGGCTGGGAAACAACCCTCATCTCTACAAAAAAATTTTAAAAATTAGCCAAGCATGGTGGTGCATACCTGTGGTCCCAGCTGCTCAGGAGGCTGAGGTGGGAGGCTGCCTGAGCCCAGGAGCTCCAGGTTACAGTAAGACATGCTCATGCCACTGCGCTCCAGCCTGAGTCACAGAGTGAGACCTTGTCTCTAAAAAAAATTTAAGAAGACTGTAATTATGAGAAATGGTTAGTTCCGTTATTCCGTATCTAGTACACAGTTAATGAGTGCTTGCTCTGCACTAGCCCCTGTTCTGTGTTTGAAACTGAAAATAAAGTGGCCCATTGCTGCCTTTCCATTTCTGGCCCTAGAAAATCGTGGCATTAGAGAAGGGCTATAGGCAAGTAAAAATGATCAAAGAGCCTTCCATTCTCTGGAGTTCTAAAGCAAGTGACCATATCCATGGGTTTCCTGACAGGCTGCTTTGCTGGCTCCAAGTTTTGTCTTTCATATGGGATCGCTGAGATTATCTAACTCAAGGAAAGTTTAAATAGGCATGCCTTGGGATAGCAATGGGATTTGAAAATCTATGTCTCTCACCGTAATACAAGGATAACTACAAAGATGTTTCGTGGTTTGCTTTTGAAATCAGATCCACATGTTAAACATCGAAGGAAGTGTGAAAGCTTTTATCCATCTGACAAATATCCCTTAGGAAGAAGAAAACTTCAATTTAAAAGGAAGAGGATATAATTCCAGAGCTTAAGATGAAATGCTATATTTTATTATTCCAGATGAATGAGTGAAATGGTAATAAGGACTTAATATTAGGTTGAATTAGCAGGAATTCAGCAATTGTGTTCAAACAACAGTAGAATTGCAGGTCTTAGTCAGCCATAGACTTGAAAACCGATGATGAAAGGTGTCAGGTGGAGATAATTTATTTAGCGTGTCTTGCGGTGTAGTCTTGAACCCAAACCTGTAATTAAAGAGCAAGACACAACGGCACATGTGTGTGGCAGAAGACCTGTATTCAGGCAGGGGGTCAGGATAAGGCAGACCCTGACTGTCCGGGAAATGGTGCGTGCACAAATCCTGATGTCTCCTTCTACCGTTCTGAAAGGTCTTATTTTTATAACTCTGTTTATGTGGGATGTGGGAACTCAGTTACGAGCTGATGAAACCGGGTAACTTAAGACATTTCTTAGCTCAGATCAAATGCCACTATTGAAGTGGGCCTGCTTTCAAAGTAAAACAAAGCCATATTCAGCTGGAATCTAAACAGAATTAAACTCTGCTCTATACTGCAAAGGCTGCCAAACTCGTTCTGGCAAATCACCGTGAAGAAAATGTTTCAAAGACAAAGCCCTTTAACTGCATGCTACGAATTCCGGGGCATCCACCCTGAGAGACGCTTATCATCAGTAGTACAAGTGCTCGTATCTTGGTGCAGTGTCAGATTAAAACAGCAGGCTGTATTCCATGACAGAAGATATCCTCGCATCCAAACTGCTTCATACGAGAAAGCCTACCAGTGGTCCATGAGTTCTCATCACTTAGTAGATTGGGATTCTAGCATAACAGAAGAACTGACAAAACCCCTTTTAAATAAGACAGAGTACACGGAACTGTGTATCTGTTGTAAATGAATTCTAAAAGCCTTTTGAGTAAAAATGTAGTTATTCAAAGTTTGTTAGACTGGAATTTAATACATAGATGGTCCTAGGCTCTTTGCTTTTGTTTAAATACCACTTGCGTCTTAACAGGATGAAAATTCCGTGTCTTCCTTTCTCTGCCCTTCACTATGCTGGAGGGACCTTGCTGGCAAAAGACTGTGCGGGCCACATTCTGAGTGTCCAGCTCCTCCCACCAGGGCACAGCTCCACCAAGGGCGTGCATCTGTTGCACCTGCAGCAGCCTCAGCCCCACTGTTGGTTGTGTTTTCATGGTACTGTGTGGGGGTGGCACTTGGGCCTGGAGTTGGGGTATCTTGTGAGGTAGGATATAGGTGTAGCTGCTGTGAGAGAGACCCAAAACAATAGCTGTGCAAGTGCCCCAGCCCAGTGCAGGAGGTGGCTGCCCCCGTTACAGGCCCACACTTCTGACTGGCCGCATCCCCAAGAAGGAAGGGGCATGGATCATTCCTTCAGGACACCACTCACAAGGCGCCCACCTGACTTCCAAACGTGTCTTCTTACAGAAAGAGGAGAGTGGATGTGGAGGTGCACTGTGCCTCGGAGGTGCACGGTGCCTCTGCGGTGCTGGCCCCATGTCCTAATCTGCGTGCAGTGCTCCCACACACCTTCCTTATGACAGAGCCCTTGCTGAGCCCAGGCAAACTAGCTGTCTTGGAGAATTGGACACAACCAGAGAGTCACTAGCATTGCCATGCGTCTTTTAAGCCACTGTGTAGTGAATACAGGGAGTATGCTGCCACGTTCCTGTGATGAAGTAACCATATTTTTAAAAATGTTTCTTGCTTGATATGTTAACTAGAATTCGCTTACCTAGTTTATAGAGTTGTAGCAAGGATTATACTTTATTTATTCTTTATTTTCTGGGGAGTTAGCAGATTCGTTAGAGTGTTGTTATCATGGTTAAAACAAAGTTAAGCTTTTTTAAAAAGTTGTTTATTTATTTATTTTTTAATTATTATTATTTTTTTGAGACAGATGCTTGCTCTGTCCCCCAGGCTGGAGTGCAGTGACATGATCTTGGCTCACTACAACCTCCACCTCCTGGGTTCAAGCAATTCTCCTGCTTCAACCTCCCGAGTAGCTGAGATTACAGACATGTGCCGCCATGCCTGGCTCATTTTTGTATTTTTAGTAGAGACAGGGTTTCACCATGTTAGCCAGGCTGGTCTCGAATTCCTGGCCTCAAGTGACCCAGCTGCCTCAGCCTCCTGATGTGCTGAGATTACAGGCATGAGCCACTGTGCCCGGCCCAAGCTTCTATTTTTTAAAAGAAATGTTTATGTCAGATAAAGACAGAAGAAAGTGGATGATTGCCATGTCAGATTTGTTTCAGAAAAGTAAAAATGTTAAAGTCCTAAGTGTAGCCTTTGAGGGCAGTTTTCATAGTCCCAGCTTTGGCTGGGGTGACGTTACAGCAGACGCGCCATTGCAAGCTCGTGTGCTGTGCTTGCGTAGCCCTGCCCTTGCAGATGGGTTGGAGTGGAGGTGTTTTCCACTTTAGCAACAGAGAAAGAGCAGTATTCCTAGGAAAAGAAGTGTCCAGTGGAACAGTGTCCTTCCATGGAAATCCATGTGGCCTTTCCTATCATAACTACATCATTGTCCTTAGGTAGAATGGATGCTCTCTGTGCCAGACCCCAAATTCCCTCCTCCAATGTTGATGAGCAGGCGTCCCGAGCGGGTCAGAACAGATGTGCACGTCCACCTGGCTCCACCACTGGCACTCCTGCCACCGTCTCTAGGCCGTCTTCCCTACGTTTCTGTCACAGAACTGAATCCCAGAGTGATGAACCTGTACAAAACAATTAGGTGTCTGCTTCTTCCATCTTATGATTAGAAAATAAGTGGAAGGAGCTTAGAGAAGGAGGGACCACAGACAGTTTGTTCACCCTTCTTACTCTGCGAGGCAAGTTGCTGGTGGTTATCTTTGGTTCTTAGCGTTTGTCTCTTCTAAAAACAAAGAAGAATGCATTCCCAGACTACCCCTCTTATATAGTTATGATTTTTAAATTCTGTCCCATTGTTCTTCTCCTCTGTGACTTTTTGTTTCGTCGTAAAATGTAATTATGGTAAAAACATGGGAGGTTTTTACGTTACAAAAACGAGTTCATGAAAAGCAGTTCGTGCAACAGAGAATCATTGCAGAGTACAACTCTCTGAACTACCTAAATTATTAAAAATAAGTAAACTCCTGACTTTACTGTTTTTCTAGATAGTCATGTGAAATAAAATGTATTATAATCAGTGTAATTAAACTCACTTAACGAAGAAGATTAACCATATATTTGGAGCAAAACATATACACCTATCTATGATTATATTTATGTGATACAAAATTTTCTTTGTGTATGTCTTAGTGTGCTAGGGCTGCCTTCACAAAATACCAGAGACGATGTGGCTTAAACAATAGAAATTTACTTCCCACTGTTCTGGAGGCTGGAAGGCCAGACCAAGGTGTCAGCAGGTCTGGCTTCTCCCGAGGCCCCATTGGCTTGGAGACAACCTTTCCTTGGTGCCCACACCCTGGCATCCAGCTTTCCTCCTCTTCCAAGACACCAGTGAGATTGGGCGAGGGCCCAGTCTAAGAGCTTCACTTTTACTTAATCACTTCTTTGGAGGCCCTGTCTCCTAATGAGTCACATTCTGAGGTATGGCTTTGGGTTTCAACATGTGAATTTTGAGGAGACACACTTCAGCGCATAACAGTGTATAAAATGTGAAAATATTGATATCATAGGTGACATAGCCTTCTAGGGTAAAATGCAGATGAAAACATTCACGCGTCTCTGTGTCTCCACTGTGTTCTCACCTGTGATATTCTCCAGGTGGAAACTGACTTGTGTCCCATGCTGTGTCTCTCTGTTCTTGGCAGGCCTGGCAGCTGCGATTCAGCCACCTCGTGGGGTATGGCGCTAAATACTACTCTTACCTCATGTCCAGAGCGGTCGCCTCCATGGTGTGGAAGGAGTGCTTTCTACAGGATCCTTTCAACAGGTAAGAAGGGGGTAAGTTCTAAAATGTGCCCGCCTTGGACCACAGTAACTCCCCACTCCATTACATCTGAAGCTGGGCTCAGAGAACCACAGCCCACAGAACACAGCCAAGCCCGGCAGGAAGTGGCAGGCTCCGCAGACAGCCTCATCCCGCTTGGCCCTTTTCACCCAAGTTTGCTCCTGCTTCCTGCAGCTGATGGTGACCCTGGACATCCCCCTGCCCTGCAGCCACTGTGTAGAGGTGGCCCTGTGGTGCCTGAGGGAACCCTTGTGTGAGGGCTCTTGTGCTATGTGAAGCAGCCCATGCCGCTCCTGTGGGGTTTCTTGGCTTTTCTGACCTCACCACGTGATACAGGACGCCCACCCCTTTCCACAGAGTGGAGGGAGAACAAGGCACTGGAGAGGCTAGAGGCATGTAGGGAGGAAGTAGGGGTGCCTAGGATCAGTAGTCCTGCTTTCCCAATCTCTTCCTAAAGGCCAGGTAGTGGTTACACTTCCATCGGGTGGAGAGGTACAGGAGATGCCTTGCTTCCTGGAGGGTGCCAGCGATTCTGTGCTGTGGCTGGGGGATGTAGGGGATCCCGTGCTATCTGGGGGTGTGTGGGGGATCCCGTGCTGTCTGGGGGGGGGGGGGGGGGCTGCCGTCGGGTCGGGGGGGGGGGGGGAGAGTGTGTAGGATCCCGTGCTGTCTGGGGGTGTAGGGGATCCACGTGCTGTCTGAGGAGGTGTGGGGATCCGTGCTGTCTGGGGGTGTGGGGATCGTGCTGTCTGGGAGGTGTGGGGATCCCGTGCATGCTGGGAAGTGTGGGGGGATCCTGTGCTGTCTGGGGGGTGTGGGGGATCCACGTGCTGTCTGGGAGGTGTGGGGATCCCGTGCTGTCTGGGGGGGTGTGGGGTCCGTGCTGTCTGGGGATCACGGGGGATCCGTGCTGTCTGGGGGGTTGTGGGGGATCCGTGCTGTCTGGGGGGTGTGGGATCCCGGTGCTGTCTGGGGGGAGTGTGGGGGATCCCGTGCTGTCTGGGGGGTGTGGGGGATCCCGTGCTGTCTGGGGGTGTGTGGGGATCCCGTGCTGTCTGGGGGGTGTGGGGATCCCGTGCTGTCTGGGGCAGGGGATCCCGTGCTGTCTGGGGGATGCGGGGGGATCCCATGCTGTCTCTTGAGGGTGTGTGAGGTCCTGTGCTGGATGGAAGGGTACTGGGGATCCGTGCCGTCTGGGGGAGGTCTGAGAGGATCCCATGCTAGCTGGAGAGATGTAGGAGAGGGGATCCCATGCTGGCTGGAGAGATGTAGGAGATCTTTTCTTTGCTCCCTGATTTGGCCTCCTGATCCTTCTAACAGGACTCCCTATAACAATAGGAACCAAGAGGTTGTCAAGTTTGGGTCCTGTGATTCCTTAGAAGGCGCTTTCTTTGAAAGAAAACCAGTAATTATAATCTGGTGTCAGAGTTGTTTATAGCATTTATCTTCTCACCACACAAATAACTACATCTCCAAATTCTTTTCAGGGAGCTTTGGCTGATGAGTGTTATTTTTACTGCTTTATCTTGGTTTTTAGAGTGTCCTAGAGTTTTCACGTAGTATTCCCAGCAGTCTTGGCAGAAACCAGCAGTTTTTATAAGAGAAAACTGAGGCTCAGAGAAAACAGTTTGTTCAGACTTCACCATTAAAAACTGGACTAGGACTGTAATCTAAGTCTTCTCATTCCTGGTTTCTTCTCCCTCCCACCTCTGCCTCACCGTCTGTCTTTCTTTTTTTTTTAAATTTTTTTTTTTTTTTTTTGAGACGGAGTCTCGCTCTGTCGCCCAGGCTGGAGTGCAGTGGCCGGATCTCAGCTCACTGCAAGCTCCGCCTCCCGGGTTCACGCCATTCTCCGGCCTCAGCCTCCCGAGTAGCTGGGACTACAGGCGCCCGCCACCTCGCCCGGCTAGTTTTTTTTGTATTTCTTAATAGAGACGGGGTTTCACTGTGTTAGCCAGGATAGTCTCGATCTCCTGACCTCGTGATCCGCCCGTCTCGGCCTCCCAAAGTGCTGGGATTACAGGCTTGAGCCACCGCGCCCGGCCCGTCTGTCTTTCATACAATTTGACATACACTTGGATTTTTCTCAGCAGTTAATAATCACATTCGTTTCAAATTATTTGAGCCTGAATGTGATGTCATAGAATTTTTAAATATTTTGCAGCTTGGTACTCACATGTATTTTGTCTTAGAAGCCCTTTGCAGACTGTAGACATTTGGTCTGCTTTTCAGATTTTATTTTTAAAGGATCTTTAGCCAAACTTGACATCAGTAAATCAGTTTCAGGGATTATAACTTTTTACTGTAGATTTCTGTAAAATAGGCAAAATATCATCTTGTTTGAAGTACACTTTACTAGAAAAGCACATGCTATAAAATATATACGTTTCTAAATATTTATATCTTGTTTATGTGTACATTCTTGCCTAGACATGTAGTTGCCATACTTTTATGGGCATATTAAAGTGAGCTAGTAAAAATGCTCACTGGACTAGAAAATTTCTAACCTCTGTCAAAGTCTTCTTTTTGATCTCACTCCTGAAAAATAACCAGGCTGGAGCCTACAACAGCAAGCCAGGCATTGCAGAGCTGAGGCAAGCCAGGAGCTGGAGGTCTGTGGGGAGGGATTGGATTTAGGGTCAGGGCACTACATCCCATGGCTGAGAAGGGCCTCGGAGCACCCCAGGCCAGGAGTCAGGCAGGGCCCCTGAGCCACCCCTGTCCCTGAGGGGAGGCTCCACCTCAGTCCAGGCTTCGTGCTTTGCTTAGCACTCACTTCAGGATGTGACCAGGGCTAGTGTTTGATGTCAGCATGTTTTTGATACTGTAATGCTATCAAAAAGTCTGATTAAAGACCATGTTCACAAAATGATCCACAGGTAAAGAGGCTCCAGAGCTTCTCAAATGGAAACAATATCAAAATTTATTTCACCTGTCTCATCATAGTGTGTAGTCATGTATGTTAAAGAAATCGCATTTTTCATAAAATACAAAAGAGTAGTACTAAATAACTTGTTTCCAGATCCCATTAGTTTGGAGGATTTATGTCTACAAAAATTATTCCAAACCTTCACATGTTGTCATAAGCAGTGTTCCTTGTGGAAGGCTGTCAGGTGGGCATGTCCAGGTGACACAGAGTACCAGAAGACGGGAACAGGGCAGCCTCCACTGTGCCTTTACCACCGGCACACTCCAGTGGAGTTCGCTGGTCTGTTCATTGTTATCCTCAACAAGGTCTTCTGGTGTAATTAACCTTTTCCTGCCAGCTTCTCTTCCTTCACTCTTATTTTAGAATGTTCTTTTTCTCTTCATTAGGTGCCATCACAAAGTATTTCTTAATGGTATAATTTCAAGCCTCATTTAAAATAATCCTAAAACTTTTTATAGAGAATAAAATATAATATTTTACTTATTCTATCACAGGAGGTCCCAATCCCCAGGCCACAGACTGGCCCTGGGAACTGGGCCACACAGCCGGAGGTGTGGTGGGTGGGTGAGCAAGTGGAGCATCCTCTGTGTTTGCAGCCGCTCCCCATCACTCTACCGCCTGAGCGCCATCTCCTGTTAGATCAGTGGCAGCATTAGATTCTCATAGGCGCAGGAACCCTATTGTGAACGCACATGTGATCCTTATGATTCCCTCACAAGGATCTGGGATGGGCACTCCTTATGAGAATCTAAGGCCTGATGATCTGTCACTGTCTCCCATCACCTCTGGATGGTACCACCTAGTTGTAGAAAAACAAGCTCAGGGCTCCCACTGATTCTACATTATGGCGAGCTGTATACTTATTCCACTATATATTCCAATGTATAATGTGGTAATAAAGTGCACCGTAAATGGAATGTTCTTAAATCATCCTGAAACCATCCCTCCCCCATCAACCCTGGTCTGTGGAAAAACTGTCTTTCACAAAACCAGTCCCTGGTGCCAAAAAGGCTGGGGACAGCTATTGATTAATACATACAGTAATTATTTTTATAAAGTGAGGTCTCTTGTTAACAAAGCAGAGAGCCAAAAGTATAGTTATCCTCTTACAGGGAATATATCACACCTGATTTATTTTAGAACAATTTAAAAGCCAGAATTTGATTTTTAGAAGCAAGAAAATAATGGCCGAATTGTCACGTGGTGGCAGCTTTTATGAATGTGATGTCAGTGTGAGTCAGGACTTGTCTTGTGAGTCAAAACAAGTGTGAATGGAGGCTGCACAAGCAGGTGTCTAACAGTTCCTCTCTTCCCCAGGGCCGCTGGGGAGCGCTATCGCAGGGAGATGCTGGCCCACGGTGGAGGCAGGGAGCCCATGCTCATGGTTGAAGGTAAAACAAAACCAAAATGGCACCATCTATAGTGAAAGCTGTTTTATGTTTTCTCCATACGTTTTTTTCATTTAAAGAAAATGTTTTAGGCCAGGTGTGGTGGTTTGCACCTGTAATCCCAGCACTTTGGGAGGCCCCAAGAAGGGTGGATCACCTGAGGTCAGGAGTTGAGACCAGCCTGGCCAACATGGTGAAACCCTGTCTCTACCAAAAATACAAAAAATAGCTGGGTGTGGTGGCAGATGCCTGTAATCTCAGCTACTCTGGAGGCTGAGACAGGAGAATCACTTGAACCCAGGAGGCAGAGGTTGCAGTGAGCCAAGATCGTGCCATTGCACTCCAGCCTGGGCAACAAGAGCAGAACTCTGTCTCAAAAAAAAAGAAAAGAAAAAGAAATATCTTAGCTGTGCATTGTGTTCTAAGCATCTGTCTCACTGTGTCCTAAGTAAATTAATTTTTAGTTACCATGATTTATTCAAGTACCAGGATAAAAATTCAGGTTTTAGCTTTCAAAATGTTACTTAGACTCTAACAGAAAAATGTTTTATTTGTCATAAACGCTTAGAAAATTTTCCTTTAGATTTTAATAGGTCACAGTATATTTTTTTTAGCCTGAAGAACTCATTTATTTTTTATTCCTTTATTTCTTTTTCTGAAAGTTTAGCTAAGAAATTCCAAGGCATCGGGTTAGATTTTTTTTTTTTTTTTTTTTACCTTTTGAAAAATTATAACTTAATTAAATCTTCTCTTTAAGGTACCACAATTCTTTTTTTCTATGTAATTTTCTCAGTAATTTTTTATTGGAGTATTTTTACTGAAAATTTAATTGTAAATGGAAGTGATCGTCATGATTTTTCATATATAAATATAAGAACATTGAAACATTCTTACAAATATAGGAAGATATGAATGTTACTAGATAATTGCAGTATATCGATGTGTTATATTTGCAGCTGAGCTTGACTATCTGAAAAGTTTTCTGGCTATCTGAAAAAGTTCACATAGGAAATAACTTTCAATATTGGAGAAGTGTTGTTGTCACTGTAGTAATTGAGTGGGTCTGGGTAGCAGTGTGACTTAAATGTCTCCTTGCCTAAGACTATTGAGTCTAATGCCTATAGTCCTTTTTAGTAGAATTCCAGATTCTCGCCTTCAGCCATTCATTTATTCAGCAAACATTTGTGAGGCGCTAATTATGTGCGGGACATGACTCTGTGTGCCAGAGGTGAAGTAGTGAAAGATGCCTAGACAAGCATCCTGCTTTTCTGGAGACTGCCTTCCTTCCCTCAGCTTTGTGAGGAGTGAGGAAGAGTGCATGCTGACGCAGCTGTCATTTGCAGCGAGTCCTTATTGGCCCTTATTGAACTTTGCCACCTCTGGGGCGGTTTTAGGGATTTCCATGTATCTGTTGATTGACTCTTCTTAGTAACCCTGTGAAACAGGAGTTACGATCCCCATTTTATAGACAATAAGCAGGTCAGGCCCTCTGCTTATGTCACAAGGCAGTGTGTGGAAGAGCCCGGGGTTGAACCGGGACCTCAGGCAGCAGATCAAGCTCTTCAGCTGCCTGTACTGTCGGACAGGACATCTAGTTCAGGGTCTGTCCCAGACCCAGGCAAAAGTGAAACAACAGGCACATCGTAATAAGCTACTGATTGGGTACACTGTGTACTTTTGGCTGGTGGTTGGTAGCGCCAGCCCAACAGGAGCTAAGGCGGAAAAGCAGCCTTCCCAAGCAGTGAATTTCTGTGAGGTGTGTGTTCCTGGCAGCCGGGCGTGGCTCATCCTTTCCCAGGCCATGCTGTCTGCACCTCAACATTTGCTGATAGGCGATGCCATCAAAAGAAAAAAATGTAAATCTTTTTCAGTGTTTATCTTTTGGCTGGTGTGCTTTTCTAGTCAGCTTCCCAGAATGTTGCAGCTAACTCTCTAAAAATTCTGTCTTTATCCAAAACAATTTTGTGTTAAGAAACTTAATATTTTCTGCACTAAAATTCACAGGGGAGAAAAAGAAGTCCACCATTCAAACCAGAGATGATTAAGTATTCAGATTTTAGTTAACACAAACAATAGAACAATTCTTTTACATTTTCATATTTTTCTTAATGCTGTTCTGTCAGATCTCATTAATTCACATGATTTGTTTCATGTCAGAGGTGAATGGGGGACATTCAAAGAGGGTTATGCCAGTTGTCACTTCATAGGGCTGGATTTGTAAGGATGTTAACCCTCAGTGGCTTCTCATTTTCTTGAAGGCAGTCAGCCTGTACCCTAAAACAGCAGGTCGTAGGTGTTGGCTCACAGCCTTAACACTGGGGTATCACCAGGAGTGATGGGTGTAATTACTGAGATTTGTAATGTAAAAGCATACAGGATCTCGTTGGCAGTATTCTTCTATGAAAACGTAACTTTTTATAGGTACCTTGTATATTTTTGTTTAACTGCTTCCTGTATAAATGTAAAGAATTGTATTACACAGCAAAATGCAAAGAAATAGAATGCCTGCCTTCAAATTATATACCTCCCTAACCAAACCACAACTGTTTTTACCCTCTTAGTTATAAGACTGTGTTTCTTAGGGTCAGAATACCTTTGTATTCACACTTGTGCTCTTTGAATGATATAAATTCAGAGAAGTCAAATAGGGAATGCTTTTCATCTTTGCATAATAAGTTCTACATAGGCAAACTTTTAGATTATTTATCTTTTTCAGAATGAGTCATCCCTTGGGAACAGGGCTCTGCTCAGAGCTCTGAGTCCCTCAGCCATTTCAAGTCCTCACCAACTAGAGGCCAACACCCTGTTCAGGGAAGTCCCTGAGCACACAGGATTCCTCTACTTTCTTTTTTCCCTGATGTTTGCTTTACATTCATCAGTTAAAGGCCACTGCTCGGCAGCCGTGTGTCTATGCTCTGTAACTCTTGGCTGCAAGGTATTTATTCAGCAGTCTGCCATTACCTAACTTTACACAGAGTGATCCTCACAGGAAAAAAGACAAGTTGCAGCAGCAGGGGCTTTTCTTAAAAAACCTGACACACCAAATACCATTTGAAGGCAACATAATAGTGGTTAAAACAGTACTTTCTTCCCCAGAGAAAGCGAGCAATCACATGGTGAAATAGAATTGGATTTGCAGTCAGTGACTCTGCTACTTACTGTCTATAAATTACTTCGGAAAGTCACTTCATTTCCTTGTGGGAGGTAAAATGTGATTTGACTTCAGAACACTTCTTTTTTATTTTTATTTATTTATTTTTTATTATTTTTGAGATGGAGTCTCTACTTCCCAGGCTGGAATGCAGTAGCACGATCTCCTCTCACTGCAACCTCCTCCTCCTGGGTTTATGCGATTCTCCTGCCTCAGCCTACTGAGTAGCTGGGACCACAGGCGTGCGCCACCATGCCCAGCTAAGTTTTGTATTTTTAGTAGAGATGGGATTTTGCCATGTTGGCCAGGCTGGTCTCAAACTCCTGACCTCAGGTGATCTGCCCTCCTCGGCCTCCCAAAGTGCTGGGATTACAGGCGTGAGCCACCTTGCCTGGCCCGAAACACTTCTTTTTAACCTGCTTCTCCTTTTTTTAATCTCTGAAGGGGGTGGGGGGTGTGTGCAGATGTATGGCAGTAATGTTGCAGATTGACAGTATGGCCTTGTCTATTTTTAAACACCTTCATAGCTGACATAAAGATATATATTATAGGCATGACATTCAGTCACTTAATCCTCCTCTAAACACATGTGGCAATACCTGACTGAAACCAACTTTCTTAATTGCTGAGATATCTGGGGTGAGGTTTAACTCTCATTGTCAATATTAAGATTTTCTGCTGTTTATCTCATACCCCCACAATGGTTTTTGGCTTATGTTAAATCACATTTCTGCGTAATAAGATCACTTAAGGTTTTTGCTTAAAATAAACCATAATGATATGGCATTTCCATTCCTTTTACCATTTTATAAAATATATACCAGAATATTTGTTAAGTGTGCTATGGTGAGCGTGATCTAAGGTTCAGTTTCCATTACAGTCACTTCAGAAAATGTGCAGTTTTCTAGAAAGATATGCTGAGGTTTGTGAGTAGCAAGGAAGTAATGCTTTGCCCCACTAGGAAGCAGAATTGTTTCTGACTACAGCAAATAGCCAGGTAGAATTAGACAGATATTAGGAATGGAAGCTGTATTAGCTCAGCAGTCTGTGAGTGGCAATTGTAGTACTCATGCAAGTTTCATGTTGCCCTCTGTAAACTATTTGGTCTTTTTGTGTTTTATGTTATATAAAATTTTTAGGTAAATGCCTCTTAATGAGTTTTTATGTTCAGATTGTGCTTATCCTCTGGTAAGTTTAATCCCCTATAACACAGGTCATATTGTCCCTATTTTTATAAATAATGAAACTTAGGGTTCATACCCTCTGTGCTGCCTTGCCCACGTTTTTCTCTGTTGATCCTTAAGTTCTGACATGAAAGTGACCTGGCCGTTGGAAGGCAAGAGATGTAAGCAGCGTGGGTCTTGGGCCCTGATGGTTCTCTTCATGATCTCCGAGTCTTTTTATTTATTTATTTTTTAATGTCACAACCTGTCTATTCCCATTGACACTGGAGAGGCCTGCCTGACTGATTCACTGATCAACAATCCACTGATCAACAATCAAATCTTCCTCTTCCTGCGAGCTCCTTTCGACTTTTGTGGCAAAGGCGTCAATTCAGTTTATAACCATTTTTAGCCATGGTGGTCCTGATGGAAAGATTGTCCCCACAGCCACGTAAGCAGGACATGGCCCAGTTAGTTTTGGGTTCTGCCTCTGGTTACAGAATTCCTTGTGCTCTCTTTCTTCAGCTCTTCCAGAGAATCTGAGGGGAGGGGGAAGGGAAGGGATAAAGTCCAAGATTTTAGCATTCCAGGAGGTTATTTGTAAATATTAAACAACTTTATTTCTGTGCTCCTTTCTAATCAGAATCCCTCTGGCCAAAAGCAGTATGCAAGTAGAGACACTAAATAAT